AAACTAATAAAGTAATGCCAATAAAAAAAAAGGATTAAATAACTTAAAATTCATCGAAGAAAAAGTGAAGCAGTACATATAGAATATTCAAAATATCATAGTAACACTTTGTCACTTCGAGATACCATCTTATCTTGGAGATGCTCTAATAGGCAGTAACCATTACAACATATTACAAAATTTTAAACAATTAATTATTTTTAAAACATTAATCATATTTTCACAACCAATCAAAACTCCAATTGATCAAATTATTAATAATAGTATACTTGGAAAATCAATCGAGGCTGTCTTTATACATGATAAAAATTAAAAATTCTACATGATACAAAAAAAAAACTAGCATATTAGTTTGCACTTCACATAGATCAGTAACAATTTTTTTTATAAAAATATAAAGAAAATAGAAAATATATTAAATATGTTAGGTCTAATGATCAAACCAGACTCAATAATATTAGATATAATAGTCAAACCAGATCTAGAAGTCTTAGATCTAATAAAAAAGATAGACTCAATAATATTAGATCTAGTTATTAAGTAGTCCAAAAGTTACTAAGTTTGGCTGGGCAGTCACACCCAATGCTATTGGATCATTCTGGCAACTAGACCCAATGCCATTGCTTTAATATATTTTGGTTTCAATTATTTATTTATTTGTTATAAATCCTCTCTTTTCATAGTGTCGTTTGATGCAACTCTTTGAATCACTTCTTACCATAAAGATCTTCTGTTAACGATCCTTAAGTTACTCGATGATGATGATTTTAATGGTGATTTTTTTAAAATATTTTTTTTGTTTGGAATTGTATTAGAAAAAATAAAAAAGTTTTAATTTATTTTTTTATATCAACACATCAAAATAATTCGATTTATTTTTTTATATCAACACATCAAAACAATTCAAAATCATAAAAAATAAATTAATTTAAAAGTACTTTCTAAATGCAAAAATAAACATATTAATAGCTTTTGACGGAACTCAATGTTTTTGGGTCTTGCTACCCAACAAGGCCAAATAATATACTAGTATAATTTTATTACATGTACTTGCAGCATATTAGTATGGATTAATTTTTATTTTCATGGCTTGATTGTAAACCCCATCTATTAATATATTTTGATCTAACTTATTGATTTATTTGTGATAAATCATCACCTTCTATCATGTTCTCTAACCATTAAGCTAGACCAAGCATTTTTTGGGAGTGATTTGGTGATAGCTAGACCCAGCAACTTTTAACACAGAAAATAGAAAAGATAATGCCCTTTAGCAACACTTTCTTACTAAAATAGCAGAGGTTACGCCCTTGTAGAGCTATAGTATCATCCACAATATAAACATTTTATATTTATAGTGTGGTCTACAATACAATAAGTGTATACACAATAAATACATAATGTTTTTCTAATACCTTTTAAAGTATAGTATAATCAAAATTAATAATAATAATAATAATAATAAATGAGGAGTCCATACATTCAAGAAAAATACTATTTTTTTTTTTAATTCCAAAAAGTAACTTCTATCCAATAAATATATTAAATGGATTGAGGTGGAAAAAAAAATATATTGACACGCATTTAAACTCACCATCATTTTCCTTTTGAATTTTACTAATTATTTGACTCGTGTGAATAATTTTTTTAATAGAAAAAAATAAATAAATATAAAAGTTTTTCAAATGTATTTTTTTAAAAAAAATTAATTATAAACCAATAAATATATGCATGCTTTTAATTAAATACATCAAGAATCATCAGTGCCAATAAATATATATAAAAAAATGTTAACTTGTTTATTCAAATTGTTTTGTTGTAGGTCGATAATTTTATTTTCTAACGTAAAAGAATTGATTTGTTTTTTGACATCGAGTAACAAATGTAACAGGGAATCAAAAAGTTGATACTTATAATATATAATAAAATATAATAAAGATCATATACATTAATAAAAACATATGTGATATTAAGCTAATTTTAAAATAGTAGACAAATGGAACAATGTTGTAATTGCTATAACAAAATATTATTTTCTTAGTCTTTGTATAATAATTTTCCAAAACAAATTACAAAATAAAAATAAATTACAAAATAATAAAGAAAAGAACAAAAAAATGTTATAAATGGGCCAATTGTAGAGTCATAAATATTCAAAATGTAAAAAATAAAAAAAAATAATAATAATTTTTTTCAAGAACAAAATATAAAGAAAAAAAGAGGAAAAACTAAAAATATATTACAAAAAAATAAAGCTAATACAAAAAATTATGATAAATAGGTAAAGTATATACAAATAAATATTAGGTATAAAAAAGAAAAAAAAAGGAAAACTTGTTTAAAAAAACAAAAAAAAACTATAATTTTGCAACTCCTACAATAAACAATAGACAAAACTATAGTTTTGTCATTTTTTTAGGAAAACATGTATTATTCAATATTATTTTAGTATATTTATTAGTAAGATGTTTATGCTATGTCATGGGCTCATCTTTTAAAATATTATAAAAATCTAAATCCTTAAAGTATTGGGTTTGACTGCATTGTTAAATCTAATAATAATATTTATAATATTAATCATAATATTTAAGTTATTTGCTAAAATTTTTATGTTTTTTAATCTTTCAAAACAAATTATGATTTTTTTTCAATAGTAATAATATTTTTTTTAACTTAATAA